AGAGCTGCAGCTAGTAATAGTTGTAGGAAAAATATCGGACATTCGAAACTGTCTCCAAACAGCACTCTATACTACAAGGTGGAGTATTCTTCTTCTACCTGAATCTTTTTTTTTGACATCATTTTTTATGTCCGGAAAACATCTCGCAATGAGTCATCTTTTCCGTTATTAGGCTTATAAACTCATCGCCTGATGAGTGAACCTTTCCAGATATTAAATTGGTTTTCGGCCAAGACGATGTTCATTTGATGAGTAATAGAAAAGTTTAGAATGGTTTGGTTTTCCGAGCCTTTGTTTACTGGATTAGTTGTGGTCTCCTTCAAATCATGTGGAACGTTGGCTTTCGAATTTCGACTTCAAACTTACAAAGTTCTTAATAAGTTCCATATCTCACGATAGAAGATACTAGAAAATTTACAATTTATCCAATCAACTAACCTCATGGAACACTTTAGTTCATGCAAAGTTTACAATCGAAAGTCAATTTTCTACATGATCTGAGGAGGGAACGAAACAATCCAGTAAGATTTCGATATCTCAATAACAAAGGCTTCGAAAATCAAACCGTTCTAGAATATTCTACTCATCGAATAAACATTGTCTCGATCGAAAAGTAATTTGACATCTAGAGAGATTCTCTTGTAAATTGCCACCGAACTTTCATCTCTAGTTATCATTTCACTATTGAAATTAATTTTATCTCGTTTAAGGGAAAATAGATAATAATAATAATTCATATTATGTTTAGATATTCTATTGATCATTAATCTACAAAGTTATGAATCAATGAAAATAGAGCTCTAGAGAAAAGTATCACGTTCGTTTTTCTTTTATCACTTGTTCCGATTTAACAGTACGGAGATGCATCGATCATCATTATTGAGGAAAAAAAAAGATTTCATTTAAGTTCTATGCATTATATATCGAATCGTGCGTGAAGATCCCAAGATTGGAAAGCGAGTATATAAGAAAATCTCTCATAAAAGTAGTAAAAAATTCAAAAAATCTTGGTAGTTTTATTGGGTAATAACGAATGCTTTTCATTTATTAGGTGGAGTGCGCCTCAACTTTCGTAGTCGTTTAAGTCTGACATCTATACTAATTCAGCTTTCAGTGCACATAATAAAAATCTATGCTATACTAATACTCACAATAGAACTTGTCTTAAATTATTAGAAAAATAAAATGTGCAATCTAAATGAAAACTATGAATTAATTGTCTTGACAATTAAATTTACATGACATGAATAATGTCTGAGTGCAATCAAATGTAATCGATAGAGACAATATTATTCTATTGATTTTGTTTCTTTCGTAGCTTAGTGTAGGATGTAATCGAAAAGAGTTAAGCTTTTTTTCTGTTTTTTGAAATATATTCTATGATTTTGTTTACATAGTTTTTTCAAATATATATAGTATAATATTTATTGACATCTAAAATATTTCGAGTGACTGAAAGAGCACTCAGAAATTTTCTAAATAATGTATTTTGCGATTACTTTTCTCTAACAAGAGAGAATTTTAAATCTTAATATATGTACATACAGAGCCCATAGAAATTTCTATCGATCGTAAATTTGAAAAAAAAAGTCTTTTGTTGAAAAATTTCAGACGTTAAAATCCTACGGTGACAATTTGTTTTTTTGGTTATATCGAACAATTATTTGTATCGTTTAACAAGAATCATTTAATATAATTCTATAGAGAATTATCCAAAGTTTTCTAATATTTACAATAATCTATTGCATAATAAACTATCAATCAAATTTCCTATCACATAAGATCAATTGAAACTTCATGTAAGTATTCATGTTTTTTATAGACGATTAAAGTCATTAACAGATGTTGTGAAAGTTTCTGAATAAAATATTTCTTCATTTTAAAACTGTTAACCTAGAATCAGAATTTTTTCATAGTGAAACTTTGAAAGAGTTGCAAATATATTCTGGACCGAAGCAGTTGAACTAATCGATCTCCAAACAGCAAAGCTAATCATACTTCGTTTAAAATTGGTTGTTTATTACTTTTTTATTTTCGTTATAAACGCGTAGAATTTATCTTACGAGGGGACTGTTCGAAATGATTCATCACTTTTGGACCTATATTGTAATATGATTGAGATAGAGAAGTTCTGCTAAAATCTTCTTGTAGGATTCTGATCCTCCGATAAAATCATATTTTCGAATTTTGTACATATCGAAACTGTAACTAAGATGGTAAGATAACATAGATTTTTATAGACAAATCCATGTTGCGAATCAGAAAAAAAAAGCACCAGTAGAGGTTGAAACCAACGTAAAAAAGCTTTATTGTCGAAAAATTGTTTTTGATAAAAATCGTTTTTAAAACTAAAGAATCACTTTTTCCTAGTTAAGACATTGCGCTCTATCCAACCATGCATAAATATCGCGAAAAAAAAATTTATTATAATTTTGAACTGCGCGCACCTTACTATCTTAGTTACAGTTTCGATATGTACAAAGTTCGAAAATATGATTTTGCTGAAAAACCAGAATCCTACTAGTCTAGGACACTTGCTTGCATGCTTGTGAATGAAGAGAAAATCAACTTTTACGCTCTGTTTACTCTTTCTTTTAATGGATTTATAATAAAACTTCTACATTTGATGGTTTCTTTTTTTTTGCCTACTGGAATCCATTCAGAAAGATTCACTCATGAGTCTTACACATGCTGCTGACTTCCGTAATCGATCAAAACATGAACATTTTGTTCAGAAACTTTCGCAACTTCTATTTGGACGTAATGTAAAATTATTATGTTCAATTAAAATACATTAAACAAAATAAAATTTATAGAAAAAAGAATCGACTATTCTATCATGTTTTGTGCATGAAAATAGACAATGCAAAATTGTTTTTTTCTTCCCGCCTGCTATTTCTGAAATATGTTCTTTTTAGATATAAATATTTAATTAATTACATTTGTTAACAATATGTCTGTTTACGATAGTAAAGCAAATTATCATCCAGTATCAACTTTACCTGGCAGTTTACCACATGGTAAGTTCATACGATATTTTCATTCATTTCTATTTATTTTTTGTCTAGGATCATATCTTCTACCGGGTAATGGCTATTACAGGTATATAAATAAAATAATTTTTTAATGATTTAATTTGAAATATTTCAATAGTGTCGAAGGACGTTTACCTCGTCTTCGTTATGATACACAAAAAATTCTAAATGATCCAAAATATACATATTCACAAAGTTATCGAATTGATGCCATGCAAGCATTACAAAATGTTAAAAAAGGTAATATAATCATATTTTAAGTTTGATTATTCCTTTTTTTTTTTTTCTTCTCATAATTTTAAATAGGTACTAGTTTACCTCGATATTATACATATTATCCACATTTTGAAGCAGCTCGTGAACGACATATATTTGTACCAAAATATTTTCCTAATGAAAATCCATCGTGTTATGAACATAAAGGTTTACAACATTTTAAAGATGTATATTTTATAAAAAAAAGATTAATTTTTATTTGAAAATTTATTTATTTTAATATAATTTTTAGTTGGCTTCAAATTCACAAAGATATGCACTTCGAAGTATTAATAGTTTACCACCTATTGATTATGTTACAATACCACAATCTGATCAACATGACGAAATTTATCGTACTTATCAACCTAAAATGCCTTAGTAAGTTTAATAATTTATAAGAAATCATATAAATTTTTCTATTAATTTATTAGTGATATGATGGTATTACGTGATGAACAAATGTATAAAACACCATATTCAAAAGATTTTATGACACGTAATAATACATTTATTTCAAGTACTACATTGGTACCACGTGGATGTTAAATTCAATATAATTAGTACTGTAGTTTATAATATTCTTAACTAACCCGTTGAACTATATATATTTTAATATTCTTTTCTTTATTAATCTAAATAAAATATATCTTAATATATTCATTTAAATCCAATAAAGATTTT